GTATGTCTCAGACATGCCTCCAAAATATTTTTATTTCTTTGATTTCTTTTTGGAAAAAAAATAAAAGTTCAGCCACTAGCTACAATCAGACAGACAACACCAAGCTTTAATGATTATACATGTGAAAATATGCTGCAGATTCTGTATTCTGAAACTACGTTATTTTGTGAAATGTCAAATGACCTGATTAATTGAATTAAAATTAATATGTATCCCTATATTTTTTAGTTCTAAGATAAATGTAAAAATAGTTCATATATAGGAAGATGATAATGAACTGAGTAAAAGAATAAATTTAGATGTCTATTATTTCATGCTTTTATAATTTTGTTTTAATATCAATTACGTAACACTATATAAAGTGTTTAAATATTAGTGTCATCATATAGCTTTAAACTCAACCAAGATTATTCAAAATATAAAATATATGATTTGAATTTAGTTAATAAAAAGACATTCTTTATATTTAAATCTGTATTTTTCTGTATATATAGCTTAAAGATTGTATTTGAAAAGTCAGCACTTTTTACATAAAATAGATTTTTTCTTTTAAAAAATGCACTTAATTTTTCAAAAAAAAATTATACAAATTATTTTTTTTAATAGCTAGTATTTTACTTATTCTCTATTTTGATTAATGTTTCTTTTATGGTACACTTTTGATACTTCACATCTTACGACAGGTATTCTAAATTTAGCATCATGATTTCTTTAGTAATATTTAGTAGCTAAATAATTTTAAGCAATTTTAGTATCACTGTGGATTTTAATATTTTTAAATACTCTTACAAAAAAAGAGCACTTATATTTTTTCAGAAGCATAACCATAGGGAAATGATATACTCCAACTTGAAAATTATATACATTTAAAAGGATCTTGTCCTATTTGATATTGCTGATAAATTAATTGGAAGCAAATATTTTTCTAAAACTTAATATACAGCCTATAGCTCAACTTTTCCAAGAAAAAATAAGTATTTTACATGTTGTTATAATTCTGCCATGGTTCATACCTATCATTGCCACGTTTTCCAATTCTTTCAAAACCTCAAATCTGTGAAAAATAATTTGGTAACACAATTAAGACATTTAAGTAAAGAAAATATGTTGTACACAGAATGTATGCCAAATAAAAAATGACTGTATTTTGTATAGTCAATGTGAAATATTAAAATACAAATTTTTTCAATACCCAAATCAGTGTTCATAAATACTGAAAACTTATTTTCTTTCAACAAAAACTCCCATTCAATTACTCTTTATATGGCATAGTTTTTGCCATCTAGAGTGATACCCTATGATCTCTTCACTGCATGCTTTTTAAAAACCTCTGAATGAGAAGTTGAGTTTATTGGAGTGTGCTGTTTCCAGCTTATATCTCTCATTTCTCTACTCCAACTTTTGAATGATCTTTTCCAAATTTTAGTTTCTTTTTTTGCCTCAATCCAATATCACTAAATATTGCGACCTTATATTTTCCCTATTATAGTAAATTATAATAAACCATTTAATAATAATTAAATGAATGTCTGTCAAATGTGATTCACTGTTCTGAACATGTAGGATATAGTAAACAGGTCAATAAGATGGCATGTAGTTTATATTCTTAATTACTAATTCAATTTCAATGTATTGCAATGCTTAAAAAATATATAGTTGCAAACTATTTTCTTTGAAAACATTTAATAAAAACCTATTAAAATGCATGGAATAGGCTAGGCACTGAAAATATAAATATTAAAAACATATGTTTTGCTTTTAAATAGTTGTTGGTCTAATGGCCAAATGATAAAACTTGAAACAAAATAGTGTGATATTTATTAATTTGGAAGTTCTGGACTCAAATGCTATCCTTGATTCTGAGTTCTGCTACCTACTGGATCTTGAGACAGTTTACCCTCAACAATGATTATAATATTGAGAAAAATATAGAGAATGTAACAGTGATATATAACTTACAGAATTAGCGTGAAGACTAAAGGCATTGCATATGGTCTGGCACATAAAATGTACTCAGTAAATATATTGTTGCTGGAATATTGTTAATGCATTATAATAGTATAAATTTAAATAGTGTGCTGGCATCTGTGAGCAATTAACTTCTGTTTTGGCAGAAAGGTCAAGGTTAATAACTGAGTTCAGCATAAATTACACCGTCCTATATGAACTTTGGTTTTCTCACTATAAAAGGGTAGTAATTTACTATCATAATTAGCAGAAATATTAAAGAGCTTTTTGAAAGTGGAATCTAAACTCTAAGCACAATATAAATATACAGTGTTACTGATACACTATAATAAAACTGTTACCAAAAACCAAAAGGCATTTGAAGGTGAGTTACCTGAAAGTTTAGTGTTTGGTTTGCCAATTAGGTGCCTACAGTTAAATGATAACACATTACACATTTTATGAGATAGCTGTTAAAAAGTTGAGAAATTAAAATGTTGGTGCCAGAAACTTAAAAAAAAAAAAAAAAAAAGAAAGAAAGAAAAGGACTCTCTGTATTGTCAAATATTGTATTTAATAAACTAAGCCATATACTCACGACATCATTATTTATGCCTCCAAACTCCACTTGTATTAATAAAAGCTGAATCATATCCACTCATTTGATTGATTCAATGAGTGAGGCTTACAATGAGATGATCTACTCTGAACATCAGCTAAAACACTCTCCTGACAGTAGGCACTATAAATATTGTCATACCTCTTTCATTCATTCTTTACAGCATCTTGTTGTTGAGGGGACAAAAAGAATGACTAGGACATGAAACAGGTTTCATGGATCCCCTTGAATTGCTTTCTCAGTACATCACTGTTTTGCCAATATTGAAAGTGCCTTTTTTTCCTCTACAAAGAATTATTTTCTCACAATAAGTTTAAAAACTCTCATAAATTTTGTTCATATTCTCTGAAAGTCAAAAACACAGAGAGAAAGTAGACAGGGGAATATGATAAGCTTTAAGTGAGAATATATTGCCACTGAAACAACCACAACCAGCCTATATGCCTCCAAGGTGAATCTCAGAATAAAATACTAATTTGTCTAGAAAAATTGGGTTAAGTTAGTTGTTTTCTGAAAAACCATTAATTTTCCCTACAATTGAAGAAAATCACAAAAAAGTTATGACTGTAGACTTATAATTGAAATTGATTATTTGTATCATAATGTAGCCAGGGCTTATAAATATTTTCTTTGAATTTCTCTACCTTACAAATGATCAGTGTACATAATACACTGAACATGTACTACTGATATGCCAGAATTATGATGGTATTTGGCAAATAATATGCAGCAGAAAACATTTCTTCATTTCTAAGTGCTTGTAGTTTATGAAAGCTCTTTAGTCAAGATTTATTTTTGTATATAAAAATTTAAAAAATCTTTTAAAGCTAATATATATTTCCACCACCTAGAAGGCTACCAAACAATTCACCGAAGGTTTAGAATACACCTATAATTTTCCTGGAGAGTTTTCACAGTAACCCTTGGAGGCATATGCTATCTTCATTTCATTGAGGAGTAAATAAATGACAGGTAATGTAGAGATAAAAATGAATATAATTGTTTAAAAGTGTATTTGCTTTTTGCACTGAAAATATATAGTAATTAAAATGAGAGGGTCAGAAGGTGAGAGGCAGAGAATATGTTGCCTCTTATAAAAGCATACTGACAGACAAATAGAAAACAGAATTAAAAGTCACCTTGTCAAATCCCCATTAGCATAAAAAGACAAATCAGATGAATTAAATGTGTCAGAATGTTTTTACCTGCAATTAGTAGAAAGCTCATCCAAAACTGTGGATAACAATAAATGGAAAGTAGATGCTACCACTTCTGAATAATGTCATTCAATACATTTGGATTATCTACATTGGCATTTTTCCAGGCCCAAAATCTTTTATTTTATCCACTGGCTTGCTGGCTCATGATTAAAATGGCTACTTCAGTCTGATGCCAGCTGTGGGTTTGTTGTATATGGTCTTTACGGTGTTGGAGTATGTTCCTTCTAAACACAGATTGATGAAAGTTTCTGCACAGCAAAGAAGACAATAAAGTGAAGAGACCCTGTAAAATGGAAGAAAGTATTTGCAAACTATGCATCTGACAAGGGGTTAATATCCAAAATATATTAGGAATGCAACTCAAGAGCAAAAAAGAAAAACAAAAAAATCTGATTGATAAATGGGCAAAAAATCTGAATAGACATTTTCCTAAAGAAGATAAATAAATGGTCAGCAGATACATGAAAAAATGCTGAACATTAGTCATCATCAGAGAAATGCATATTAAAATTACAGTGCCATTAGCCATCATCTTAGAATGGCTATGATCAAAAAGACAAAAAATAAAAATGCTGGTAAGGATGTGGATAAAAGGGCCTTATACACTCTTGGAGGGAGTGTAAATTAATACAGCCATTATAAAAAGCTGTATGGAGGTTTCTAAAATAAATAAAAATAGAACTATCATACAGTTCAGCAGTCTTATTCCTGGGTATATATCCAAAGGTAGTGAGAACAGTATGTCAAAGAGACATCCGCACACCAACATTTATTACAGCACTATTCACAACAGCTAAAGTATGGAGGCAACCTAAATGCCTATTTACAGATAAATGGATGAAGAAAATGTGGTCTATGTATGCAATGGAATACTATTCAGTCATAAAATAGAATGGAATTCTGTTATTTGCAGCAACATGGATGAACCTAGAGGATATTATGTTCAGTGAAATGCGCCAGGCATAGAAGGATAAATACCATATAATCTCACTCAAGTGGAAATTTAAAAGTTGATTTCTTAAAAGTAGAGAATAGAGTAGTGGTTGCCAGAGGCTGGAGAGGAGTGGAAAAGGGGAACAGTGAAAATTTGTTCAATGGGTAAACTGTTACAATTAGAAAGAATAAATTTTGGTGTTCTGCTATACAGTAGGGTAACAATACTAGCAAATAACAAGGTATTGTATATTTCAATGTAGCTGGAAGAGAGGTTTTGAATATTGTCACCACAAGTAAATGATGTTTAAAGTGATGGATATGGGAGTTACCCCATTTGATCATTATGCAGTGTATACATGCACTGAATCATTGTATTGAGTCCCATAATATGTACAATGATGTGTCAATTACAAATAAAAATACATAAATAAATAATAGTTCTAAACAGATTAAAATTCTATGGCTACTTCATCTGTAGGACACCCTTGCTTGTGTAACTTCGTCCAAAGAAAGAAAAGGTTATCTCTTTATACATTTTTTAGTCACAGTGGAAAACATTTTCCACCAGACCACTCCGCCTGACAGCCTAATATATCATTGGCCAGCTACTGGGTCACTTGATAATGTTACTGACACAGAGGAATATGATGGCTGTACTTCATTTAGTTCAACCATCTTTATTCCTCTGGGACTAGGAAGAGATCCATTTTTCCTGAACATAGCACCTTCAGACACCTGAATTACATCTAGATTATTTTGGCAAGAAAAAAATGGTATCTGAATAGGCAACTAATATTGTGTGTCATGTTAGTTATGAGCGACTTAGAGGGAGGATATAATATTGAGTTGAGATGTTTCTGGTTTTGTTCTGTTGCAAGCTGACTAGATTCAGGGACCACTGCATTGTACTACTCCAGGCAGCGCCATCCATATTAAAAGCTATGTGAATGATGTTTCCTAGAGTTTCACACTGCATAGCTTGCTTGGCCATGTACATCAGCCCTTATAAGTATAGTGTCTTGCAATGATCTAGAAAGAGATCTGTAAATTATCATGGAATGCAAAACAATTGCCATTATATATTAAGCACTGAGTGCCACAATACAGCAATAATTGAGTATTGCTAACATATATTAAACAGAATGTGCCACAGACTGAACTAACCTCTAAATATATTTTCTAATTTAGTCCTCATAACAGCCTTATGAAATTAGTACTTTGATTTTCTCCATTTATTGATGAGACGAGTGCTTTATAAATCAAGTATCTTTCCCAATATCCCATTTAGTAATTAATAGAGATAAGGCTAGGGGTAATAATTATCAAATACACAAATCATTGCTATTAAACAGCACTCTAGATATCTAAGAAATGTTAAGTAGGAGAAAAGAGGCATAATTGATGAATCAGAAATATCAGAGCTGGAATATAAAAATAAAAATATTGGCCAAATAAATGAGAAATAAACAGAAAAGAGGGCACAGCCAAAAAAAAAAAAAAAAGAAAAAAAAAAGAATGCTTATATAAGCAAAATTAGCACTGATTATGAAATGTTGTTTTCTCTCAATTATGAAATGTAAAAAGTCCAGAATTAGGCAATAAGGTGTTCTTAATCCAAATGCAATCAGACACTACGAACACAATGTATGTGATTTAATTACTTCTTATATTCTATGTGATTACCCCAGAAGTAGTGATAGCAAGAGTATAAGCATTTATATTTTGTCACATAAAACAATTTATATTGGCAAGGGTTGGGGAATTGCAAAATAGATCACCCTATTAATATGTTTTTAGATATAAATGACAAAATTCTAAAACACTTGAAGTAGACTACTGATATAAACTCAAAATTTTTAAATTGATATCTCTAAGAATCATTGTGTTTAAAGCTTTGTAGTCCTACATGGAATCTTTTCTTTGTCATAGCTTAGCTATGTTATAATGCAAGAAATTAAATAATCTCCTGAGTTTCACATTTTCCAACTGTTAAATATGGGTTAATAATACCTATTTGTCTTGGTCATTTGAGGTTGAAGGTAACATGTACCAAGTTGTCTGGGTGCTTGGCACATTACCAGTTACTTAATAGGAAGAAGAGCTATAAAAAAAATAACAGTAGTCTTTATCTATGCTCAGAGTATATATTTTAAGACCTTCAGTGGATGGCTGAAACCAGGTATACTATGATTCCTTATATATAAACTACGTTTTTTCAATCTGATGACTGAGATGGCTGTTAAGTGACTAACGGTTGGGCAGTGCATGCAGTGTGGATAAACTGGACAAAGGAATAATTTGCATCCCAGGATGGATAGTGCAGGATTCATCACACTACTCAGAATGGCATACAATTTAAAACATATGAATTGTTGATTCTGGAATTTTCCACTTAATATTTTCAGGCAGTGGTTCAAAATTTTCTGCAGTAACTTTCTGTAGGTAACTGAAACCATAGAAAGTGAAACCTTTGATAAAGGACTACTGCACTTAAACTTCTATTTGTGTTTGTTTTTTTCTTTAACTCTACATGTAACCTGAATTCAGAAATCAGTTTTATAATTCACGGCCCCTATGCAATTATTAATTCATTAACTTTAGCTCTTTTCAACAGACTATGGTTCCTTGATATTAAGAACAACTTTTATGCAGTTTTTTCAAAAGCATCAGAGCCAACATATGCACACCTCAGAGAGCTATGCACAAGGGAATAAGATACGAGAAAGAGGAAACTCTCCTTTTCCATATTGCTTGTTTGTGTTAAGATGGTAGATAATAGCATCAATACTTGCAGTTTAAAAATCTTTTGAAAACAGCACTTTCAAAAAAATTCTATTTGGTTTGGAGTTGATATTGCCGGCCACTTTATTTCATAAAATCACTTTAAATTTCGAACATATTTGAAAATTTAATATTAAAATATAAACAATGAATATTTCAAATGAGTTATTTCCATACTTTTCAATTTTACAAAATAGAACTATAAAGTTTCTTCAAAAAGATATTCTAGGCTGGGTGCAGGGGCTCACACCTGTAATCCCAGCACTTTGGCATGCCAAGGAATGCAGATCATGACATCAGGAGATTGAGACCATCCTGACTAACATGGTGAAACCCTGTCTCTACTAAAAATACAAAAAATTAGCTGGGTGTGGTGGTGGGTGCCTGCAATCCCAGCTACTTGGGAGGCTGAGGCGGAGAATCACTTGTATATGGGAGGCAGGGGTTGCAGTGAGCCGAGATCATGCCACTGCATTCCATCCAGCCTGGGTGACAGAGTGAGACTTCCTCTTAAAAAAAAAAAAAAGTATTCTAATATATGAAGTACAATTTTTTCATTTTTGCAAAGCAAATGTATTAAATGGAGCAAAACAAAGACCAACTTCTTTAATATACAATCTTCTATATAATTCACCATTAAAGAGTAGAAAAGTCATGATCTCGGAATAAGACTTCTAAGATGTAACACCTTAAATACATACGTAATTTACTATGTCACCATTAACTTTATCATTTAGCTTCATAAAAATAGAAACTGTAATACATTGACAGCAACTCCTGGGACTTATTGCACACTAAGATATCCACCATACAAGAAAAGACACCTTTAAGTTGTAGTGAATGGAGCATATAGTCTTCATAGTGTTTATATTTGAAAGATGATATAAACAGACAATGACAAAATCAGGCTAAATATCTTTTGATTTAAATTTTATAATGATTTCCTCAAAGATAAGGATCCAAATTAGTATCTATATATTTATAATGGCAAAATTGTCTACTTTGTTAGAAGCAATATTGTATTTTAAGGGTAAAAAAAATAAATGTTAAGGTCTCCTTGACATAAAATTTAAAGAGCTGAAATGTTGGACAAAGTATATTTCAATTTCAATTCTACTGTATAACTGAAGGAATTAACATTATTATAAAAAGTGCAGATTCTAATGTCTTTTTTAAATTAAAGTTTTTCTATAGAGAAGTAGACTCAATATAAAACTGAACCAACATAACATATTTTAAATATATGTGTTATATATAACATGTTATATAAATTTTTAAATTTATTTTGAGATGGAGTCTCTCTCTTCTCTTACTTGGGCTGGAGTGCCGTTGTGTGATCTTGGCGCACTGCAACCTCTGCCTCCCAGGTTCAAACGATTCTCCTGCGTCAGCCTCCTGAATAGCTAGAACTACAAGTATGCACCATCACATCCAGCTAATTTCTTTGTATTTTTAGTAGAGTCAGGGTTTAGTCACATTGGCCAGATTGGTTTTGAACTCCTGACCTCAAGTGATCCGCCTGCTTCAGCCTCCCAAAATGCTGAAATTACAGGGATGAGCCACTGAGTCCACTCAGAAAAAAATGTATTATAAGGAATTGGCTCACGTGATTATGGAGGTCAGCAACTCCAAAGTCTAACGTGCGCAATTTCTGGTCCAGCATTTAAGAAGCTTGGAAGTAGCCATTTCATTGTAACAAGTAAAATGCTGAACAAACTGAAAAAAGCAACAAGTTTTCTTATTACTCCAAAAGACCTGGAGGTCAAAGGAAAAACTGCTGCCCCATAATTAGAGAGTTCAACAAAGAAATACAGAGAATCACAACTTGCTGGACCAGAAACCCACAAGCACAAAACTCATTGGGAACCAGTGCTGGGGTAGGGAAACCTAAATGTAATTGATGACTTGCTAGAGGTTCAGTGCAGGCAAGAGATAAAAATTCAGGGGGTCCCGTCATGCAGTTGAGGAGGTGAGTCTTACCTCCTGGAGCTCTTCCAGTTTCTCACAATGAATATCAAAGAAAATTATTCTTATGCTTCTAACAGATAGAAGGAAAAAGAAACCAGTTTGAAATATGCCAGAGCATTCTGCTCTTTTTTACAAGGTCAGGAGAAACTAACCAAAGTTTATTCTGCTAGGTTTTTTATCAGAGACTAACTGACCTGGGGGAAAGGGAAATCTTCAAATCCAGCCCACTCTAGTCATTCTTTCTCACCCTCCTCCTGGGAAACAAGAACTGAGAAGCAGAGGCACAGGGTCAGTAAGAGACTGAGATCTAAACACAGAACTATAGAATGCTTCCCCTTCCACTGGACCTTACCACCACATTACTAAAGGAGTATTTACAGTACTCCTTTTTCCCTGCACACCATTTCTGGCATCACTCACACACAAACACATACACACAAATTCCAGGACATGCTAAAAGACAAAAACCAAGGTTTGAAGACCTAGTGCCAAGCACCAGAACTAGATTCAGATATGGTAGGACTGTTGGAATTGTCATGATGGTAATTTAAACCAAGCATTGTTAATATGTTACTGAATAAAGTAGAAAGCATGAAAAACAGATGGACAATCTAAGCAGAGAGATGGAAATTCTAAGAAGGAACAATAAAGAAATGCTAGAGAAAAATACCACTAGTAGAAATGAAGAGTGCTTTGATGTGATTATTAGTAGACAGGACACAGCTAAGGAAAGAAGCTCGGAGCTTGTGGCTATCTCAGCAGAAAGCTCCAACATCTTAAAGCAAAGTCTGTAATGTGGCTCAGCAGAAGGATCAGATAAGCTAATGTCTTCGCTGTGGTCCTTCCTAAGCTGCCTCTTTGAGAATTCCCTCTTGACTGGGAAGACCAGTATTTTTGTTTTAGCCAGGGGTTTAACTGATTGGATGAGTTCTACCTATACTATGAAGAGTAATTGCTTTATTCAAAGAAGGCATATAAAATTAACCATTACAGAAGGTAAAGGTTTCAAGTGCAGGAGAGCAGAAAAACTGTATAATTTATTAAGATAAAAGCATAAGAATATAGTGGAATTTAATTTTTTGCAATGATATAGTTGCACTGAAATAACTGTTTATTTAGCTACCATTTTCCAAAAAAAACTTTATTATATGGCTTATGATTTACCTTTTAGTTACAATAAAAACTTCATTATCTTCCTATACACACCTCAGTGAGTGAAGTAATAAAGAGACAGAGGGTGAAATTTGAATTCAACAACTACTTTTAATGCAACTATGGATTCGAAAAGCGAATGGCAGTTATTGGCGAAAATAAGAGTTGGTGTTATGGTAGATTTCATATTAACCTTATTTTAATAGCCTTAATTATTTAAAAATAAGTATTTAACTCTTGTATTCTCAGGAGATTAAGAGTAGAGAAAAAATTCTCTACATATTCAGAAACTAAATTATACAATATGAAACAACATCATTACAATGTATTTTAAGAAATGTGAGTTAATTAAAATGAGAAACCACATTATGAAAAGTCTAGGTAAAAGTAAGTGAAAAAACTATGTTTCACCTAAGGTCAGATAAGGATTTCACAGCAAGCAGGATATCCACAGCCTTCATAGCACTCTTGAACCTTGGATCCTTGCCATGATAAGTAATGGCAAATCGGAGAAAGAGTGAGCTTTTCTACCCTTTACCAATGCAGCTCTGTATTTCCCTTCTTAATAACAGCTCTGGTAACATTCCTGTAAAACAAACCAAAACAAAAACCTGTTATGCTAATTACATTTGAAGGGTCTTGAAGACAAAAAACAAACAAACAAACAAAAAAACGCCTATTGGAGAATATTTTTCATGTTTTTATAAAATTTCTCATTGTACATAACAAGTGGGTGTAAAGAGACCTTGTATTTTCTTCTTACTTTCTTAACCCTAACTTAATTTTTGTTTGTTGAAAGAAAGATACTATGCCAGAGAATGCATAACACCTGCTTATGACCCTAAGTGGGGTTTGCAGATGGTCAGAAATGAAAGAATTGCTCCCAATGCCCTTGAAAATGGGAGAAATACAGCTGTGTAAAGCCATCACAGGTTGTTATTTTGTGATGATTGTTTGTTTGTGCTTCCCCTTTTGGAAAATTAAGTTATAAAAACAAACACCTGTTTCAATAATTCACAGTGCATCATTAATTCAAATGACTTCAGGGGAAAAGCTATGTTCCTTCTTATGATCTGGATTTCCATATGAGAACACAATTGAAGCAGTAACAAAACTAAAAAATCATTATTAAAATATAATTCTCAGGTTGCATAGCCTGATAATAGTCAATAGCATTACAATAAAAATGATTAAGTTTCTTGAATATACAAAAAAAATTTCTAGTACTTCTAGGTAGGGGTTACAGTCATTAGACTCTATTCTTTTAAAGAAACTGAGCTACTGTTTACATTTGTAGAGCACCTTAATGTAAAACTTTAGTATTATTGTATTTCATCTAAATTTTCCAAAAAAATATATATGCTACTAATCTAAACACACGCAAACAAATGGCTTTTAAAGAGGCAGGTGAGCAGTCCACAGATCCTATTGAAACATTGCATGGAATTTCACATTAGGTGATCCAACCTAACCTGAAACTTCACAAAATTATTATTTCTCAAATATTTCAGAAAACATTAGATAATTTTACACCATATTTAATTTTATTTGTATACCATTTATACCTTCAACATCACAATAGGTAACAAACATAAAATAGAAGCATTTTTAACTAAAGATTTTAGTGCAAGAACTGGTAAGTTAATAAAAATATAATTGTAATTGAAACTTAAAAGGTGATAATCATTATTTTTATTTCTTTAAAATGTATAGTGTTCATTCACTTCTCTAATTTTAAAAGTGGTACCAACGACTTTTTATGTATGAGTTTTTCTGCATGCATAAACTGGAGTTTTGGGTGGTTAATTTTGCATAAGTCATACTCAGAAATTTCATATTTTCTAAAAAATTGAGAATAAACATAAATGTATGGTAAACCATCTGAGCCTAGAATTCTTTTAGTCTTTTACAAGTTTCCCCTTTTTAGAATTATCTCATCCATTCACAGCCACCAAGTGGCTTTAGTAATTTCACTTACTGTATTTCCAAGGTCTTGATAGGCAAAATTATTATTATTTTGAGATGGAGTCTCACTCTGTCACTCAGGCTGGAGTGCAGTGGCACTATCTCAGCTCACTACAATCTCTGCCTTCAAGTGAGTCTCCTGTCTCAGCCTCCCTAGAAGCTGGGGCTACAGCTGCGTGCCACCAGGCCAGGCTAATTTTTTGTATTTTTAGTGGAGACTCGATTTCACCATGTTAGCCAGGATGGTCTTGATCTCCTGACCTTGTGATCTGCCAGCTGTAGGCTCCCAAAGTGCTGGGATTATAGGCGTGAGCCACTGCACCTGCCAGACAAAATTACTTTTATATGGCAATTAAAAAAAATAGCTAATTTGTGTAAATGCAAAAACAAGAGCAACTGACATTAACAGGGGAAAACCCAAGCAACTAAGCTTAAGCATTTTGTTCAGCTGGGAGGAAGGGATTGCAGAAATGTTCACACATTCTGGAGGAACCTTCCACCACCAGTGTCTATCTCCATATAAAAATCAGTTAACATGTTGGTAGAATCAGTGGAAAATGGCTGAAGTTTGATAAAGAGACTTTCTAATGCATCTCGATCACCATTTTTTCAATATAGACATTTTGATATTGGGGAATCCAAATAAATTATGATCACTTGCTCTTCTTTGGACCAATGCCTACCAGATCATATTTCAGTAATTCAGGAATATATTGAATATGCAATAAGTTTTTGTCTAGTGTGAATAAGTTAATGAGTCATTAACAATCTGTCATTGATGCATTCCTATTCATCCACCCAAATTCAGCTCCATTATATCTTTCCTTACCCACTCAGGCAGAGATCAATGAACCTTCCATTTGCTCTAATTGCAACTCATATATGATACACTTTAGCAGAGGTAAATCTGTTGAAATGTCTACCTCTCAAAGATGAGCAGCTCATTTTAATCTTTTGTGACTGATGATGGAGGAGGAGCACCATCGATAGAGTATATTACCATAAAAAATAAAATATGGTAATCTTCCTATGTCATTCTGTATGGTAACTTTTGTTCAATTAGTTTCATGGTTTCACTGGAGCTTCCAATCAAATGTGACACAAACTAATAGTGTAAGCTCATATGGTCAAAATGTAAGAATACACTAAATTCTAATAAAATCAGGTTAAATTATGAAAACAATTTACATATATAAATTATGTGAGTGTGTGTGTGTGTGTGTGTGTGTGTGTGTGTGTGTGTGTGTAGGGAACCAGCCCCACATCACCTGTGGGTACCCCGAGTTTGTTGGTGACAAAGGATTGAGAAAAAGATTAAGAGTGAAAATGGGACCAGAGGACCATCACTTATTACTGGAGGCAGTGAACGCCCCGAGCTCTGATCTGTCACACTATTTATTGGTTACAATCACTTTGATCTATAGGGTAGGGGTGGAGGGATGGTGGAGAGAGGGTGACATGATGGTGGAGTGAATCAGTGAGCTGGAATTGAATCAGCTGGAACTGGTGTGTCATTCTAAAGGTTGATAACAGTGGCGGTTTGGGAATTTCACAAAACAAGAACATGTGGTTATCTTTAGCCTATTATCTATGTGTGGCTGGTGGAATGCAGGCCTCACAAGGAGCCTACAAGTCTGGTTATGCCTTAGTGCTATGAAGCGGTCTTACGTCCTTGAGCAAAATGTTTATGGTAACAGAGCCTAGGTCACCCTGCACTGGAACATGAGGCATGGAGAGGCCTTCCTCCCAAGAGGCCTCCTGCAGCTTCCACAGTTTATTGTTTCTGATTTCTTTTATACATATAGCCAGTTTATGTAGGCACTCTAAACCCTTCCTCCATTGCTGCTGCTCCCAACATTCTTCTCCCAATATGTGTGTGTGTGTGTGTGTGTGTGTGTGTGTGTGTGTGTGTATGTTTTGAGGAAGAGTCTCACTCTGTTACCCAGGCTGGATTGCAGTTGAATAATCTCAACTCATTGCAACCTCTGCCTCCTGGTTTCAAGTGATTTTCTTGCTTCAGCCTCCAAAGTAGCTGGGATTACAGGCGCCTGCCACCACGCTCCACTAACTTGTGTATTTTTAGTAGAGAAGGGATTTTGCCATGTTGGCCAGGCTGGTCTTGAACTCCTAACCTCAAGTGATCTGCCTGCCTCGGCCTCCCAACATGCTGGGATACAGGTGTAAGCCACTGTGTCTGGCCAATATTTTATAATTTTAAAGAATGGTATTAAAAAGTGGTGTTCTTAGGTTAAAATTATCCAGTAAAATATTCGTATTTCAAGTCAATATAAAAAGTTAAAATATATTTGAAGAGTTTTTTTTTTCAATTTCTGATGTAAAAATAGTATGAAATAAACTGTAGGATACATAAGCAACAGATATTTAACATAAGAAACAATTTCAAATATGGTGATAATGGCTCTCCACAAATATCTGAAGAACTGATTTGGAAAAAGTGCTTTTCATGGTATTAGTGGAACCAAACTTATAGAAGGTGGTGGAGAAGTTAAGTTTTAGTAGCGTCAGATAGAGGTAGTTTTGATAAATAATTTCAGAGCTTCCAGGGAGTTTTCTCTAGAGAAGTGGTACTCTCAGCCAAGGTTAATTTGCACCGTCAGGTGACTTTTAGCAATGTTTGCAGATAATTTGTCACATTGGGAGAAGATCGTGTTTTTAGTATCTAACTGGATAGAAGGTAGGGAGGTTGCTAAACATCCTGTAATGTGTGAGACAACCAGATACAACAACTTATAAAATCGTAAATGACAACAAAGTATCAGCAGAGCCCAGATTGAGAAACTCTGTCAGAGGTGATGATGAAAATAATGATTACTATTATCGTTAATTTTACCTCAAAAGACTATGTGTATTTCTTATTACTGTGTTTATAATGTTAAAAAATTAGATTTTAAAATTTATTATTCAAATACAAATTCAAATTTATTTACTATTATTCCATAAGAAAACATTTTTATACTCTGACTCTAACAACATTTTTTTGAGTTGGAAGCAAATGAGTGAAATTGCAACCAACCTACCAGGAATTGTACATAGTCAAAATATACTCTCCAGTACTGTGAACAGTACTTGACATGC